ACGAGAGGAGAGCGAACGTGTCGTTAACAAAGTAATTTTTCAAACGAGCAAGCATTATTCCTGAGTTAAGCCGATGAGGGGGGTTTATCGAACGCGCACGTCGGCAAAACAAATGGTCATTCGGCGTATATAATTCTCCTATATTCTGTTTGCGAAATTCACTGTGTAGGTGTACAATGTATATGTACTCGTACGTCAGACGGAGAGGCAGAAATATTATATTTCGTATCCAGCATTGTGCAAATGAGATAATTTCCCGAGTGTGATGTGAGACGTTATTATTCTCATAATTAAAAGTTGAGCACCTAACTTGCAACGGCTCTATAATTTTCCTAATTATTCCGGGAAGGGATTTCCTTTTTGTGGCCACGAATAGAGCCGATCGTTGACCTCTTTCACCCATTTAGTAATATTCAATATTTCACGTGCTTCGCGAGCAATCCTGACGTGTCCCTGCCAGATCTCATAAAAACTTTATTCGCAGGACGTGGACGTTACAATGACATCGCCCTGTGTCTCAGAAAGTAGAAAGGTAATATCTGATGTTCAGTCCGCGGCGGTAATGCGAAGAAAACTTACGTTTCCACTGGGTATACTTTCTTAAAAATTGATGCTTTTACCATGGACACGGTAGAATCGATGCCGCGATGGTGGAAACTTTTCTATTTCATACCGAAATAACGTTAATCTGTTTTAATACTAATAAAGTTGTATAACACATCTCAGAGAGATTATTTTCATGAAGAAAAAGAAGAAAAGTTATATCTATACTTAATAATATATAATTTAAAAAAATTGAGTATGTTTTATAAAAATAGCTAAATCTCTCTCTCTCTCTCTCTTTCTTATATTATTTTTTGAAAAGCGCAGATTTATCTTGGATCTAATTTGCGCAATAACATTTCTTTTACACAGTACATAAACATCTAATTTGTACCTCAAAGATAACTTAAAAATTTGAAAAATTGATTTTTAAAAAATCAGCTAAATTATTTTCGATTATCTATATATAGTATATGATATATTTTCTGATTTATTAACGATCGCTGCTCGAAGCAGAAGACCCGATGGCGTGTGGCGAAAGCATGAGAAAAATACGAGTCGCCATGCACGTACGACGAAGAGTCGTAAACCATCAGCCGTAAAGCCCAAGCATTTACGGGACGCGTCGCACACTGGAATCAGAGTCTTTTCACGAGAAACTTTTTCACACCGCACTCACAGTTACAACGTTTCATTCAGAAAAATCGCAGCTGTGATGATGAATTAAGGCTGAATTTATCGCAAACCGTACAATATTATACGCATAAACATATGAGTAAAAATACGTACGTACGAAAATTTTAATTGGGACTATAAAATTTATTTTATTTTCTGGTTTACTTTCTCTTGACTGTATATAGGATAAGATATACTCCACAGTTTTTTACAATGTAAGTCTCTACTTCGTTTAATCTTGAAATTATATTAATTATTACAAACTTGTCATCAAATTTACGATAAGAAATATTTAACGTTGAAAGCTTTTTACAACATCACTGTGCGTTTTATTACAAAACGGATAAAAGAATAAATGGCAAAATAAAATGATATCTAATTGGATTAAGAACTTATAGTGCAGATTGCGATGTCACTTGCAGCAGTACGGTTGAGATCAAGTGGGATCTTATGAATCGTTCTCTTGTCCAACGTAATAACGAAATATAATAAATAGCATGTTGTTACCAGCTCTGGCAAACCTCCAGGCTGTTGCCGACATGAATCGTCGTCGAAAGCTATAAAAGGGATATAAAGGGATAAAGCTCAGAGAACAATAACATTTGACCTAATCGAAAATATAATTAGAGAAAGTAATATGTCGACAGAGTTTCGTATTAAAACAATTAGAATTTAAATATAGCATGCACATCCTTTTTAAGTAAAATACTGAGCCGGCTAACGATGCAACAGAAACACTGCCATTAGTGTAAAATTGTCATTTCATTGCAATCTATCTTCCTTAAGTTTTTATGAGAGCCTAAATACGTCTTAGAAATATTTTCGCTCTTCTGATACAGTAATATATATACAGCTAAATTGACTTCTCATTATTCAAGTGGACGTATTAATCTCACAAGTGCCATTTTTTCTCGTTCTCATAAATAGAAGCAGTACTGTCTCCAACAGGTTTATTAATCCAATGAGCCATGAGTGTAAAAATACGCAGCTGAGTGTCGGTAGATTTATCATGTCAGCGGACGGACACGAAGACGAATGTCCCGTAACAATTAATGACTGTTACTCCTCCGCGATAACGAGAGCATTTGAGGAAAAGCATCATTGAAAGCGGTCACAATATACTGTGCGATCATTAATAAAACAAGTTCCAAATTTTACCAGGTATTAAAATGAATATAAAATTAGAGAGTTTCAACGGAAAAATATGTATATCACACATACACGCTCACACATATATACCTACACACCTACACACAATGGCAGTTTAATAACAGCCAATTTTTTAATCCTTAAATCCGATATAAATGCGGAAAAACAACATTAATAATAACACATGTAACATACAGTACATTTAATGTGATTATGAATTTGTGCACATTAAATTAACTTAATCTGAGTAAACAGAAAATCTTGTGTCGCAGCAAATTGTAGAGCATATTTTATTCTATAACAAATTTTGTAGTTTTAATTCAAAATTTTTGTATATTTGTTTCTTTTTTTATATACATATATATTTATCTCGATATTTATTAAATTAAAATGTATAATATATAAACATTATACAATATAATACTTGACGTATTTAGCCATATATGTATGTGTATATACTAAGAATGGATTCGTTGCAAATTATACAATGTATTCTATAGCTAAACACGTATCAAGTATTATATTGTATATAATGTTTATATTATATACACATTTTAATTGAATTGAATTCGTAACAGGTCAAGCGTAAAAACTTTAAATTGCGAGATTATCTTTGAAATTCAGTCGTTGACTTAAATCCTGTAAAAAATCCTTCTCATTTCCATTATAATTCAAATAATTCTTTCGCCGCTTCGGTTATCTGTAAATTGATTAGCAAAGTCTGTTTAAAAAGTCGACTTTAACTGACGCGTAAAGCCGATTAAAACGCAACATCGGAAACTTGTTAATCTCGTTAGAAAAGTGCAGATAGTAGCAGTATAGCTAAATTATGATCCGCGAAAAAGGAGGACGAAATTACAACGACTATAACTAGAGTTCGCGCTCGTTTCAGGCTTCACAGGCGCAACTGTTCAAATTATTTCCTCGTTCTAGAGAAATTACTATCGTGTACTTTTTGCCGAGGTTCTTTGCATCTTCCTGCCAACGTTATCCGACGGCGACCGGCACGGCCCTTCCGGTAATTTGCTTTTTCCCCTCCCGGGTTTGCTTGGCTCCTTTCTGCGCAGTGGTGCCCACCACTCTTCTTTCTTGAAAATTTAATCGCGGAGCCGCGACGTCGCCTTTAATGCGATTCTTCGCCGCGTTCCTCCTTTTACCTTGCCTCGTTTTACCGAAGTTTTATTTCATGCCGTCGACATCCGCCGACGCGAGACTTTCTAAAAGAGCCATCCGCGTTCGTTGCGGTTAATAACGGCAACCTTTTCCCGAGGACACTCGCTAGATCTTAAAGAAAGAAAGAAAGAAAAACACATCGGTGTGTTTCGGTATTGCGGCATCGGTTAAATATCGCCAGCACCACCGGAAAGGTCGGAATAAATCGGTTTTCGATATTAACGAATGCCGTTCCGAGAATTGGTTAGCGAAATTAAATACGTTCCTCTGGTTTGGAGCGCGGAACCATGGTCTAAATTTTGCAATCGTAAGCTAGGATCCGCAGGAACCAATTTCGACTTCTACATTCAATTTCGTCTTACTTCAACTCTTCGTTCAAATACGTTAACGTTTTAAGAACGCTTACAACGGCGAACGAAGCGTATAATATGATATTCAGCCAGTCGTGAAATTACGAGATACTACAAGAGATTCTGAATCGTAATTTTTATGAAAAATCTCATCTTGGATAATCGCGGACGTAACATGACGGAAACGTACTTGTCCTGCATAAGATCCTACTTGACTTTATGAAGCGCAAAATTAGCATTTGTTATTAATTTCGTCCAATTTAAAGGATAATTAATTATTACAATTAATTTAACGAGACAATCGACGTTTTTATAATATTTTAAATTTAAATCGTAAATAATGTAGAAGATATCTTATTTAGGGCCAGTTTTCATCAACACCGATTAACTATAACCTTCGATTAAACTCTTCATCTCTTTCTGACTGTTTGGAAAGAAACGAAAAGTGAGTTTAATCGAAGGTTACATGCAGTTAATCGGAGATGGTAAAACCAGCCCGTAATGTGGTATCTCGATTGTTTTTACTTGCGATCGCAGATATGTATGAAAATCAATTTATCTTGCATGTGTCAAAATATATTTATAAAGCAACACAATTGGGTGAATTATTATCATTCACCGGAGTGACTTAAAAAAAAATAGAAGTTGAGAATCTCATTCCAACTCACATTTAGCCGTATTTTTTAATGCTCATGAACGAAATCAACAACTCAAATTACTGTCTGTCCGTTTCACTTCAAATCAAATTACTTAGCCGCCGGCGGTACATAGGGTCGTAATTGCGAAGGAAACTTCTCAAAAGATGCTTAAGTTCGAGAAAACTTTCTTAGGCTCGTTCTCAAATTTACATTTTCCGCGTTCTAGCGAAGGAGACTTTGCTAGTCTCCACGACGACTTTTATCGATGCAGTGCCATCACCCTGGTATAATTAAACTTGTCGCATATCCTTTCGGAACATCGTATCTATTACTCGGGAATGAACCGATCTCGAGTACTTCGTCGCGAAATCTATGTCGACACGTATCATAAAATTTCATTACCTTTTCGCGGCCAGTTCGCAAAAGGTAATCGCGGTTCGTTATTAACATAGGACTACTTTCTGTTGAGCAGGAACGAACGGATGCGCCGGACAGAATTGGCCCTGGAATGGTAATCGCGATGCGGCGATAATAATGGCTATCATGGCGGCCACCCTGTTCCTGATGATGACATCGCTGACGATGACGGTGCCGCCGATAACAAATGTAGCGCCGAGGTGCGAGCCGATGGTTAGCAGGTAGCTCGCGGGCATCCTCTATGAAGATATCGCTACCACTGTCTGATCCGATTACGTCGTCCATGTAAAACCTAGTAGTCTAGGGCTTCCAGTTATATATGTTACTATGTATAGAATAGATAGTCGAATAACGATGATTTTTATTCTCGAGGAGCCTATGAAAGACGGAGAGGAATTGGTGAAACGCTGGCGGATCGACGCGACGCAGGACTACGCGCGTAATTCATATACAGTTACTTTTGAACATGTCTTTTTGATGTAAATTCTTGGTCGCCAATAAGAAAACAAATGAAGGGGATAGAGCAGCGTTTGAGAATTGAGACGTAGGCAGGAATAATGATTACCTATTAGAGCAACGAGGTGATCGTGAAATTATTACGAACTGACGGATCAGCTTCGTAAAGCAATCAGGATTACAAGATGATAACAAATGTTTTAATAACGAAGGAACGAAGAAGAAGATTATGGTGATTCGATTTCCGTTACGTTTTGATTTAAATTTTTTTCGACAGAACACACGTCGAGTGCTGTAAACGCGATATTTATTAGTGACCGGAGTGTTCACCAAGTGTCAAATATAGATTATACAGGGGTAACTATACGATAACTGATATAATATAATGTTAGCGCAGTAACGAGCGGCGTTCTGCTCAATATTCGCTCCTTTTATGATGTTTAACAGAAAAAAACGCATCATAGGTACCGATTTGTAATCTGTACAAATTGTAATAAATTATAATACGAACCGTAAACATGGTATACCGCATTATTGACACGCACCACGTATCACTATTTCATTTCTTTTCTTTATATTTACGCAGATCTTTTCACCGGGGAATAAGATCAATTCAAACGCTAGGTAAGTACATTTTACCTTTTCATGCTCTCTTTCTGCATTCTATTTTTATTCTTTGTTGTAGCGGAATTCTCGTATTTACATATCTATATATTCTACTACGTTTCTTCGCATTTTAATAGCATTAATATTTCACAATATGCAAACGATCGCAATCGTAGAATAAACTCAGTATAGCTTCAGACTCATGTGCTCTTAAAACTAAGTCCTAATCCAGAAGATGCTTTTAAACTTTTATACCTTCAAACCGAGTTAATATTGATCCATCCATTTCACGCGAGTACGCGCGCGTTTACACGAAGTACTCTTGGTCTTCGGCACGGCTTAGCATAAAAATAATTATCATCCAGTTGCGCCAGCGCATCTCTCCCTTTCCCTCCCTCCCCCTCTCTCTCTCTCTCTCTCTCTTTCTATGAAAACGTTCCTGTATTCCCGCTTCCGCATTCGCAGAAACGTTTTAACCTTTACGACTACTCGTGTCAATTATACGGGAGGATTCTAATTGGACCAATCTCAGTTCGAATCGAAGTGCCTGACATTTAAAAGCACTTCTTCCTCATCAAGCGAGAGTGCGCAAAGACTTATTCATTATGCGATATGTTAATGCGGGGCTATCTGGTCAGCTTGGAAAAGCCCTAAACCCGATTTAGGAATTTCCAAATTGAGAATACACGAATCCTTTTAATGTTTATCATTAAAAACTCAAAAGCGCTAAACCAAGTGAAAAGGCGAAATGGAAGTTTTATCGCTTTAAACATCACGAGATGTTATTTCAACGCAATTTTAATACAACTTTAGTATTAATTTCTGGATTATTTTCCGAAAATTTCACTACATTTTTCTAAAAAAACAATACCGAGATGCAAAAAACAGCCTGAAAAAGTCTTGCTGAATATAGAGTCTTACGCGAAGAGGGAAAGGATAAAGAAAGATGGGAGGGGAGAAGTAGCGAGAATCATGAAAATAGCCGGATTAGCTACTCCGGGGAATTATTGGCAAATTGCAGGAATTGCAGGAAACGTTTTATAAGCGTTTCCACCAGTAAATTAGGGCGCTCGTAATTCCGCCTCACCGCGGAACGGGGATATATTGTCCGTATATGACTATCTACACGTGTAGCGCTGCGGAAGGTGACGAGGAAGACGCAATTGCGATCGCCGTGAAATTGGCATTAATTAAACGCGCAAGGAAAACGTAACGGGGCCCGGTGGCCATTCGGTCCACTTGGTTTACAGATGAAATTAAAACTCGGCTACATACAGTATGGACCGCACGTGTCTGACGTGCCGCACGTGCAGTTCTACTCCTCAACGTCGCGTGACACACGGCTCGCAAAAACCTTGACCCAAACCACTTGCTCCAACGCTTGACATCTTATCACCCTGCTTACTCGAATTACCGTTGTATTACGTGCAGACAAAGTGTTGCAATAATGTAAAAGAAAAGCAAGGAAATTTTATATACGTATTTAAAATCCATTTAAATAGATTTATAAAATTATTGCAGTTAACGTGATATGTATCTATAGAGATAAAATAGTAGTCTAACGAAACTTATAAAGTTAATACACATCAGTTTATTTATATGCATGTGAAAATTTGATTTTTAAATATATTGTTATAAAACAGAACATAATATTTATTGAATAATAATTTTTATATAAACCTTGAATTACAATAATACGCTTAATCAATCGTCCCCCCTTCCATTGTTACAATAATAAAGTAACTACTAACTCAAAATTTACAGAAGAATTGTATTCTCATAGCGTAATGTATAATCTGTATTGATGAACTGAATGGAAAGTTTATTACACCTCGAGCATTCTATCCCGATAATTGAAGAATTAATACCTCTTCAAGGGTATTAAGGACAACCGCGAAGCAGGTCTTATCGTAAAGCCTTGGACATCTTATCCAGTGAAAGTTTATACCAAACTAAAACTATCCATTACTCTTAAAGTTCCTTGAATCGTGTTCCACCAGAGGGGAAGAAGAAAAAGGAGAGGAGTAAGAAGAAGACAAAGAGGAACAGAGAAAAGCTGCAGATCGCAATTTCGATACTTAATCCATTCGACTACGATGCATCGAATTACTCTTTAGAGAATCTAAAAGCATTATTTCCCAAGAATATCTTGTCATTTCGCAATATACCGTTACATTTGCAGTTCGTAGATATTGATATATTGTTCGTAAAATTTACATAATTCTTCTACTTATAGACGGTGTTATATTTTTGTCACAATGCCATTATGTTAAGATAATAAATATAATTTTAATACGATAGATTGAAATGTCTCTCAATGCAAAAGTTTACTTACCACGATGCCACGATCAAATTTCTCATTTGACTTGGTAAGTGTATCGTAAATGATGCATATCTCAAACGCATACGCGACATTAATCTTACACATAAATTACTGTATGCGTCAATAGATACAGTCGGATAACTGATAAACAAATAGAGATCTATTTGCAAATCATTGTGGCCTACATGTAAATTAAAACAAATGCTGACATTAATTTATTTCGCAATATTTCAAATACACATGGGAAAAGTCGGAAAGACATCATGCCATCTCGTTAACGATTTCTGCAATTCAAGCACGCTTTCGGTAACAGGATGCATCAAAATCCATATCCAGTGACGACAGCTACCGTTCGTTACATTTGTGTTAGTTATCTCCAAGCGACCGGTTCGTCCAATTAAAGTCTCGTAACAAGAGCGACTAAAGAATGCAAATCGCAACATTTACGGCGAAAAATTCCGCGATATTAAAGTATCCTTAAAAGGGATTGTCAAGGCTTTTTAATTGATATTTCCTTTTACTTCAGATAAGTGGATGACAGCAGCAATGGCTGTTTCTCCTGATTTTACGTTCGTTGACAAAATATTCAACATTTTCAATTTTATCCAAAAATACAATTTACCATTGAATTGAAGAGTGATAAATTAATTTTTTTTAGACGTAACAATTGTTAAAAATAACAACAATTTCGAATTTAACTTTATGTCACAACATGCTCTCAAAAAAGAAGCACAATTATGGGCATGGTAGATAGAGACTTTTTATTATCACATCTCAAGTTCCACTAAAAAAAATCAAGTTTATAATTGACACATTATTAGATAATAATTATTCGTTGCTTTTTATTTGTAATACAATCAGTATAATAGACTAAAATCCCTTCTTCGCAAACATACATACAAGCAGAATAATACTATGAATACCAACGATAACACAATCAAATGTCCATGGTTTACGATTCTATATGTATCCTAGATATATGTATCAGAAAAATTTTTTAATGTCTCTAAAGATTTAGACGTAAATTTTTGTTATTTCAGTTCTAATAAACTCGCAAATTTCATTAAAGCACATAAGGACATTCTCCTAATTCAATCTAACAAAAATATTGTCTTATATTATCTAACAAAATTTCTTGCAAAGATTGTGATGCAACCTACGTTGGACAATTAAAAACCAGAATTTCTGAATATCGAAATCACATATCCGTAGAAACATCTTGTCATTTATTTTATTACAGAATATCAAATCAATTTCAATCATGATTACAACTTTGATTACGAAAATGTTCAAATCCAAGACAAAGAAAAATTTATCAAAACGACTAGTTTCTGAGATGGCCTAAACATAAAATTACGAAAGAATAATCTCAAGCTACAAACACTGAATATTTACATGCATGTTTCTATTTTAAATAAATTATAAACCATACCCACTAAATAATTGTTATAATTACATACATCATATAATTACATGTACCATGCAATGGCCTCTAAATTACATTTATTTCGAGAACTTTTCAAGTTGTAATTATTTATTACTACATTTATTTAATTGTTTACTGTTTTTATTTATTTCCTTTTTAATAATAATAATATACAATAATTATTTGACTTTGTTTTATTTATTCTCATTTATTATTTAATCTCATTTGACTTTAACAATTATTTGTTAGCCGCTTCTATAGTTATCATTTTACTTTTTGACTGTTTTTCACTATAAAATTATTGTAATTTTACTGTCTGTTTTTTTATTGTGTGATCATTTAATGTAATCTTCCACCACGGCTTCAAGTTTCGTATTCACGCTCTACGAACTATATAAGTTGATTTTGGACTCTTATTCGATTTCTAATCATTTACTGTGTTTGATCATTACAGATAGTGATCAATTAGGCCAATTACATGCCTTTCGAATACAACTTTCGAACATGAAACATATTGGCTCTTTGACTTTCCAGTCTCGAAACATTTACCTTTCACTCAACGGAGATGGTGAGAAATTAATCATAAGTTTATATTAATTTTTGACATTGCTACAAATAACTCAAAGTGAAGCTAAAATGTCTGTTTTAAATTTTAAATAAATTACATTATTGACAACTTACACATCAACAACCGCGTAACTCTCATAGCCCATTTGTTACCTTACTATTATATTTGTTTCATTATCGAGAGTTCTAAGTTAATTTTCTTTTTAGTTTATATATAATTATGGGGTATTGGCTGGTGGATTCCAATACGTCTTTGTAATAATACAAATATGTAATTTATTATAACGGAGACGGCTCACTTTTAGTTTCTTATCAATGGTTTCACAAAAGAGTCTCACGGCATAATACCATACTTTGTACCAAACTCCTACTTCCGTCAACAATACAACTTGAATTGCTAGTTTAAATCCCGATCTAGTACGAGTCTTAGGTCAGACTTGGCTAACGTGAGTTTCTATTGGCGAAGTTTAGTCGAGTTAAAGAGGTCTAGTCTGCACTGGAACAAAGCGTTATGCACTCGAACTGCGATCGAGCATGCCGTGAAACAACGAGAGAAGTGAGAAGAGATGACTCAGCATATCATTCTCGCATGTAG